TCTCGACATGTTTAGTTGATAGAATGGCTATTCCTTAATCAAATTATAAAATGAGATAAATTAGATAGAAATCATGCTAGTAATTTTATTTTATTATTTTTTTTGAGGTTTTGGATTTAAGGGGCTCCTGTTTATAAGTAAAATTGAAGGTCAGTCTTCTTTTCTCTGTTGCATTCTCAATAGCTTTAATAGGATGCTTCCAGGAAACAGGATTTCCAAATTTGGTTTATTGACTAGTGTTTCCACGAGGGATCAGAGTAGGTAATTAAGTTAACAAATCAGTGGTATTCCATTCCTTTCACTTGGGCGCGTTCCAACTTCCACACACTCATTTTTTGCATGTATTGTTGGATTGTGAAGGCCCACCTTACCTTTTTGTTAAAATTCGTCAAACTGGTATCTTCCTTTAGTCTTCACCCCACCCAACTCTAAATTAATGCCTTCTCCTTATTATTTCTTTGATGTTCCCTAGAATTATATGTAAGTACAGCAGAATGGTTTTGAGAATTGAGCAGACACCACCACAAAAGATCAAATTTCCTTGACACAGTCTTCAGTTTGGTTGAGCCTCATCTTCTTTTTGTTCTTTTCACTTTCAAAAATGATGGTTTTGGGTATAGGGTCCTTCTAATTAACTATCACAGGATGTATAGTAAAAGATCACATAAATTATTCTTCACAAACGATATTATCTGGCCAACGTACGTTTAGTCTCTGTGGTTTTATTTTCTTTGAAAGAACCCCAAATAGTTAGTCTTCGTCTTGATGAGATTTTCATCTGTACCAATTGCATCACATGTTTAGTCTCAACCTTATCTTTGATGGAATTAGAAAATGAACTTCACATTTTCAAATGAATCAAATATTTAAATTTACTAAAATACCTCTTAAAGTTAAACTATGTTACCTGTACTTTCTAAATGCTAATAAGGATACTTTAGAGAAAAGCTAATATTAGATTTAAGTCTTGTGAAATGAACCTGCAACTTACATGAATTCTCTCACATTATTTCTCTCCTTCTATCAGCGTTCTTATAATGCTTGCACACCATTCGCTACACCAACAAAATGGCATTAGAGTGATTCTAGCAAATGGAAAAGAT